TTCATGTCATTATATCAATTATGTCCAAATTTACTTGATGTATTTATGTAATACAGTTGTAAATGTCACAAAAAAGAAAAAGGAGGTCTTGGTACTGGTATATCTTGCAGTTTGCAAGACCAAGACCAATTTTGGGTAACAGTACTATGGAGCAATGTTTGATTACTTATGTCCAATATTTTGTAATTTTTAGTCACTTCCTATTCAACAAAAAACGTGATTCACTTAAACACACAAATCTTGAATTTTCAACTTTTCTGCTGGAAATTGAACAATTGTTTATATGAACATTTTGGTAGATCTTGATTTCGACTTTTTAATATTTTCCTTTACTTACAGGGCACCCCGTATATATCCTCATAAAACCCTAGACTTGTCAGATATATAACAGTAATACTTAGATAGCCTTAATGTTCAGTGTACGATATATTTTCTCAATACCTTTTTTTCATTTTCGATGGTTGAGTTTCATAATTTTGCATAGAACAGTAAAAAAAAAAAACCACCGCAGGGGCAAACGTGAGGAAAGGATTCTTTCATTTAGTGTTTAAAGTTTCGGAACTTAAGGAAATTATATATATATATATATAATAGATAAAATATAAGTTTCAGGTCTTCATTAGGGATAAGTCAAAGACCAGATAACAAATAAATACTGAGAAAATAATAGCCCGTAACAATAACAAAATATAGCTAAAAAGACGAAGTAAAATAAAATGTCTATAGTTAAACATAACATTAATAAATACCTATATGGTTCGGGAAATATGTGGTATGAATATTTAAGAAGTTATAAAGATACGATAACAAAGCTGAGATTTATAGAATAATCGTATAAAATAAACTCCCGTTTATCACTTTAAATTACATAAACACAAAAACTAATTTGTTAAAATAGGTACTAGCTTAATTAACCAATATTCACAAGCTCTAAAACAAACTTGATTAAGTAGTAGGTAAGTGAAAAAAGGCGGAAGAGAAGATGGGATAATGAAGGCTTGGAAGGCTGATCTATGTGGCTGTATATTGCTACAGGGATTTATCGTTGGGTCTATTGCAACGCTTTGTTCTCATCTTCTATTTTTACATATGTCAATCTTATAAAGATTTACTATTAAGTGCCCAAAACCTCTTTAATTCATTTTATGAATTTATTAATTGATTTTTTTATCAATGCGTAAGCTGTGTGTGTCGAGACTAGTAAAATTTGTCAATTTAATTAGTTACTAAAAACTCATAAATACTACTTGATTCGGATTTACACAAAGAGAAAAAAAATGTGGCCTCCAAAAATATTGAGCCGTTTGGCGTGACCTACACCCCATGTGATGTCAAAATAACGAGATTATATAGGCCAAACGGCCCACCTTTTTTCTCTATTTCGTGATCACATTATCTTATGACCGAAGTGGAGAGCAAATGGTTATTTACGAGTTTTTAGTACCTAATTTATTAGACAATTTTGCCGGTCTCGACACACACACACACACACACACACACACACACACACACACACACACACACACACACACACACACACACACACAGCTTTCGCGTTGTTAAATCAAATCAATTAATAAATTCGTGAAATACACGAAACATATTAAAGAGGCTTTGGGCATTTATGGTAAATCTTTATAAGATATGGTAAAAATAGAAGATGAGAACAAAGCGTTGTATTAGACCCTGCTATAAATCCCTGTAGCATTGTACAGCCACATAGATTTCCAAATTGAAAACGCCCCAATTTCAAGAGTTTTCGTAAATAAAATAGTTGTAGGTTACGATGAGATGATGCTATTTACGAAGTTACAGGCAGATGTTATTACATTAATAAAAACGAGTTTGTACGACGGCCTACATTTATTTTTTCCTCACGCTACAAAGAAAGTAATGGTACTTTTAATATATAATTGTTTGGGAATAATAAAACGTGAATTTTTTTTTTTTTTTTTTGTAAGATTCCAGTCAATGAAACATAGTCCTTGGTACAGATCCCTATTTATTTTCAAGCTTCAGAAGTTTCAGGCGATTGTTAATAATTTGATAAAATGGGGTCTGAACCACGAAATATTATTTGTTACTATCTCTGTCTGCAACCCCTTACTAACTTCTCAGTCATATTAGCTATTTGAATTGTTTTGATAAGTCACCTTTAAACCGATTTTCTAGCTTTGAAATCGGTAGACAATTAGTACTTCTTTGTGTTTGGATGGAACACGGTACACCACCTTGCGATGGCTTTGCACATTTCCTCCCCTCCCCCACCCCCTCTCGCTCATCGACTTACTACAGATGAGAATCGAAGACCATTAGCCGCCATGATGATGATGGAGGGATTTCATCAGACCTAGACACAGGGCGGCTAATACTACTATAGCCCGGGCCGTTGTTGCTATTCAGAACTGTCTGCATTATCTTCCTCGACAATGGCCACAGTTGGGATAGCGAGCTTCCTCAGATTAGCGGGATCGACGGGTGACGGATGATGGGTAACTTGTAGGATACTGATAACGGATTACGAATAGTTTCTTCGAAATGGGTCAAAGGGACACAATAATGGGCTGATGTTGTCTATTGTCAAGGCTCATTGACAACCAAATTTATCAGTAAATTATTTTATTCGTGTATTTTTTGTAAACTTCTTCCTATCGATTATCCCTCATCATTATACTGAAAGTGCATGTAGTTATTCGTTATTGATATTTATCTCCTTCATGTTTCTTCTACATCTTCCAGGGTAATTCTTAAATATGTAAAACTGATATCTTATTCTGCTTTATCTTATCACATTTTATTTATGTTCATTTTGGATAATACCTAAGTAGATTTAGCAACACCGCATCGTTGAAAAATATCTGGTGTGTCCACTCACACGACTTTCCTACCTATTTCAGAAACGTTTTTATATCTTTACATATGTTCATGTAGAAACAAAAAAGAATTGAACTAAATTTATTTTCCTGAAAATTAATCAAACAAAAGATTTGAGTAAGATTTATTTGATAAACTAAAGCAATGAAACCGTCTTAAGGTAGATCAGTGTAAAAATTTCTATACTCACTAATATTGCTGATCAAAAACTTGTTACCATAGTTTAGTATTGTCAAACAATAATTTCTGTTAAAAGTAGAGGAAATAGTGAAGATTGTGTGATGCGGGCAACAGATTTTCTTACCTTCACTTAGTCATCATTATTCTTTCTTAACTTCGTTAATAGTTGTACAAAATGAACGACTTTTATACGGCTTTGTAGGGAATTTCATTACCTTTCAAATGATAGACTAAACGGAGCAATTTCCTCACACGAACGAATTTATGTCACAGGCAACAGTAGTCAAAACCCTACAAAATAAAAAAAGAAGCAACAAAATCGGTTCAGTAGTTCCCGAGAAAATCTAGGCACAGACAGACAGACAGACAGACCAATGGCTAAAAATGTGTCAGGGGGCTGTGAAACGTATAGATCCGTCGAAAACCGCATATCGGGAATTTGACCCGATTGCAATACTTTCCTTACCTAGTATTGGTAGGAAAGTAAAAATAAAGCATTCTTACCTCTTATACTCTTCTTATCCTTTGGGTGACCTCTGACTTTGATTAGAAATTTAAAAAATAGGTACAGTAGTCTCGGAGAGAAGCGGCGGACAGAAAAACTTTTTATTTCCATTTTCGAGTTCTAAGTATCCTGAAACGTTTGATTTTGAGGGAGTGTTTGAATTTTTTGGTCGATTTCAATGGCTCATTATTGAAAATAATAAACCAAAACAAAGTTACATTGTTACATACACTTTTTTTTTAATCAATAAATAATTATAGAAGAATTATTTAAATAAAATAAATTTTTATATATACTCTAATCTTCACTTATTTTGTGTTACCAAAATGAAAATCGCTACTGAAAAACCAATGGTTGTAGAGTTGAATTGATCAATGAAAGCTATGATTTTAACAATGTCTTTCATTTTTTTTTTTTTTTTTTTATATAAAAAATGTAAAAATATCCGTATACACCAGTTTTCGGCATATCTTACCCAACCATAGAAAATCTAAAGAATTAAATCTGGCAGCCTTCAGAATGAAAGAACTACGAAGACATTATGCAGGAATAAGTGTTTCTTGGCAAATAGGTAAGACACTTCCTCCCTGGGCGACACTTTTTTTTTTTTTGGTCCTCCCCTTCCTTGCCTTTAAGGCTATGCGGGGTTTTACCGGGCCAGGGGGTGTGGGCGGGGATTTAAAAGACTCCCCCGGTACCGAGACGCGAACTCATGACTATTTTTAAATCCTGATCCTGATCTCATAGATCAGGTTGCCGGGCAACGGTGATGCTGTGCCACCCCGCCCACACTAATCCCCCATCTCCCTGGGCGACACCTGTCGGGATTCTAATTTTTAGCGATTTTTCCGACCTATAAAACTAAATAAATAAATGTAGATGCTAGAATATGCGAGAAATTCCCACGTCAAATGAGCGGCTTATCTAGATCATTCCTGACGAAAATTCAGAGTTTTACCCCACAACATTTGTGGGATATTAAATTGTAAGTTTAAACCAATCATGTCTAAACCGTACATACAGATTCCAAATAATTAAATGAATAATTTTATAAAACAATGGAAGTCGGAATCGCTGGAAATCATTTCAAAATACAACTTATGCTTACAGATACATACCTATTGGATATTTCAGTCTTAATTTATTATATATCATAGAAAGACTCTTTAGTACGAAATATTACAGCTTTCATATGTACTGCTATATATATATACACTATATAGCTGTCATCCGTACTGCCATTTTATTTTCCATTAAATCAGTTATGAACTCACATATAAACCACGTACATACCATTAAAGAATAGTACAATAATATTCCCAATAATTATAGCGAAACATTCATGAGAAAATTATATTTTTCATGAATTCAGATATTAACAGCATATGCTAAATATTCACACTTTTTTAAAAAGAATATTAATAAAAAATAAAATATCTGTGATTTTTTAATTAAAATTTGAACATATGTTTCATTAGTTTGTAGTTCTTAGCTTAAAATTACGAAAAAATAATTGTCCAATCAATATTAGTTTGAGATATATTATCGATGCTTCCGAACTAAACCAAGAAATTAAAAAAAAAATGGAAAATGCTACGGAGGAAACGAGAGCGATAGAGACATGTCAGAGTCTGAGTTCTCGTACGAATCGTACAACTCATGGCAGCCGATCAGCGTCGGCACGCAAAACGTAACTGATGGCGTCAACCTCCGGGAGCTCGTCCTCGATGGGCTCGACAGCGCCACCAAGATAGCCATCATCGACTTCCTCAAAGGCTACCAGCTCGAAGTGAAGGGGGTGGACGATGACACATACACCGTCGACATGACCAAATGGGACCGCAACAAGAGTGAGCAGTTCGTACAGCTCTTGAAGACGATGGGAGGAAAGCTACCGGAAATGCTTATGAATACAAAAGATGATGATGATGATGATGATGATGAACCCCATTCTATGGTGACGGAGACATCCGTTATTGACCCTACAGTCATATCCGCTATCACATCCAACGATTCTACGGAAGAGGGTAAGATCATCTTTGATGAATTGAGACCTAAAAGAGAATTGGATATTCCTCTACCTGAGAGAAGGATTCCGATCCAACCACATCCTCCTGGAGAACTCAATTTCGAATATGTTGGGAATATTCAGCCATTTCCTGTCCAAACAGCTCCAATATATCAGAAGGATGAACTTCTCAACATAAAACCCATGCTAATGACAGAAGATACCCAATCGACGATGGGGTCAGCGAATGTTGGTGTTCGTAAAGTAAAGAAAAGTTTGTTTTCAATTAAGTGTGTGATTAGCTGTTTATCATTCCCTTTTCGCCTCTTGAAACGATTAAAAATATTCCGTTATATCAGGAAACAAACATTCAAAAGGAAATCGAAAGAAGAAAAGATGAGAAAAGAAAAAGCGTTTGCAGTCTATTCAACGCTTCTTGAAAAAGGACCCCGATACGGTAGAGAATTCAGGGCCAGCCTGAAGCAACCAACGAGCGCGTGGCGCACAGTGGCGACCAACACATGGGCCCAGCAGCCAGGAGACGACTGGTCGGTCACCAGCGAAGTCCTCAAGACCAACAGAGGAATCAATGCTGTTTGCCAAATTGCAGAAATTGGTATCAACACCCACCATATCAAGGAAGCGGCTCATCTCCGAGAAATCCCCAAGGTGTTCTCCGAACCGGAGGAAGAACCGATAGTGTGGTGTCCTTGTCAGTTTATCACGAGTTCCTTTCTTTACAAATGCATATCCAAGTGTCTCAACTACATTTGCGATTGGGAACTTTGTAACACGGAACTGATTAAGCAGGATATTGCAAGTCAAAAAGAGGAACTGGTAGAAGTCAGGTCGATGCTAATGGGAGCGCTAGAGCTGTTGGAGAGAGCTCGAAAATCGAATAATGATAATAACCAATAAATAAATTAGAAGATAAAATAAATAAATTAAAAATTAAATAGAACAATAAATTGTTTTATGATCAACTTCCATTTAAATATATACATCATTCCAATTAGATATATATATTATTATGACATACGAAGAAGTAATATCACGTACTAAATGACAAGTCATTTTAATGCTCATTGCAAAACAACCCATTAATAATAACAATAATAATAATAGTCAGCAATAGGCAAAAAATATAATGCTCAATAATATAAATCGCGTTCCGTTTGCTTGAGTGTTAAAAATGAGTAGTCACTTCGTACGTAATGTTATTCCTTCGCTAAAAATATAATGAGACATGAAATATATAGGTAAATATTATGAAAAAAGTTGGTTGGAAAGTGGGTGGGAGCTATAGTCAAGTAACTAATATGTTTTCTTTCTTCTAGATCCTAGATGTATAGCAATACTCTTGATTTACCTCCAAATTTCGGCTTAGGTTGTTGGCAACCAGGGTGACGCACTTAGCATGCCAATTTCCTGATGGTGGGACAGGTGCTTATGGGTTCACGTAAAACTTCTTGTATTTTGGGAACAAGTTGTATATTACAACATTTATTAAATAAAACTATTTCAACTAAACTATTAAAAATTATAATATACGTTGAAATAATAAAAAGTTGTTATCATCCTCTTGTGACGCCATAACTTCTCCAGTACCTATACATATCTCTTACTCGAACCCTGGCTCTACCTACCTCGCTGGAGTCGATCTTCCCTGCTCAACTCAACCTAATCTGCTTCAGATTGACTACTGCATTGTTCGATGCTTAATGTGTCTTTCGCTAAAAACTATTTTAACGCAAAAACTAAATTCAAAAACTATTTTAAAACTCCTACGGACATACTAGCACTAGATTTAAAATGCCCAAAAACACACTTAGGAGGCTCAAGGGATTTCCTCGTTTAAAAAGATGCTAAATTCAAGAAAGGAAGGGATGGCGCTGGGCATTCCTCTCCGTCACGCCGATCAAGCCACTACCTGTACTCTTACCGACAGCAGACCCGCTAATTGTCATTATTTATGACAGGTGTGAGTGAAGAAATGGAGTTAAAAAAAAAAAAAAAAAACTTTATTTTAACTAATAGCCACTATGATTTTCACAATAAAGTGCAACTCACACTTATAACATTTCTTTGCCTGGCCAGTCTTCTTTTTTTTTATTTTCCCTGTAAAGCTTGCTTTCTTTTGTTTTTTGTCGTTTTCATAAGCCTGTAACTGCATATTTATTTCTTTTGTAGAGCCTTGTTATTATTTTACAGTATAGTTATTTTTTAAGTGCAAATGTGTTTAATCAGGTATGTGTATGGGATTTAGTTTTTTTCCAATTTTCGTATTATTAATATTTGGTTTCATTTAAGCATGTAGGCCCCAAGATATCCTTCAGTCAAATAGTAATCAAAGGTAACGTATTGTGTTAGTCTCTAAGGAATTTGGTTTTCGCCGATATAAACTCGTTGGCACGTGTCGAGTAAATGTTCTATGTTGTAACATGTCATGATTTAATCTTATTTTCCTAAGTGAGTTTAGTAAGTGATTTTGTAAATTTAGTATGTGATTTTGTAAATTTAGCGAGGACATAGTCAGACAGTGAAAACGTTATATTTATATTTGGAGGTTATATAAACTAAGAAATCAAAAGTATTTTTCAGTTTTTAACATTATTCACTTTTAGCTGAAAAAGTTCTAGAAATGTACCTATGGAAGTTGTCTCCCTTCCCCTCATATTTAATTTATTCAAATTGTAACATATCGAATTGTGTTGTTTAAATATTTCAGGTATATCCAAAATCACATTTAAAAAAGCCTACAACTGTCTAAACACATGTAAATTTATTTTAAATATCTAATATTATATTTGTTCGTTCCACGAAGATTATGTTGAATTTTTACACATAAATGAACAACAGCTATTTTTTCCCTTCCATTTTTGCCCCCCTCCCCCTCTCTCCCAACCAAAATAGAAAGTCTGTCCATACTGTCAAGCGAATATATAATGTAGAGTAAAGGACCAAGATTGATGCTTGAGGTACTCCACAGCTCTGGTCGTATTGAGAATATTTCTAAACTCTATCAGAGAACGGAGTAGCTCAGTAGTAGGGCACTAAGTTTTCAATGCTGAAGGTCCCAGGTTCGAATCCTGGCTCATGGCAGAAAAATTATTTATTCTGTTTCATTGGCCTTGGGGCGAGCGTTGGGTAGGCAGACCCTCCTGGGGCACACACAGCCTCTACAAAGTGGGTACCCTTAATTAAAGAATTAATTAAGGGGAAAAACATGACGGTTGAGCGTGATCCTGGCCCGATCTCCTCCTTGCACAACCGTTGGCCTAGAAATAATACTTTCTATGAATGTTACTGAACCCAAGACCCTTCATGGGTTGTAATGGTGCAAGTGTTTTTTCGGGTTTTTTATCTAAGCTCTATCAGACAGAAAAAAATCTGATTAGCAGAGAAAAATAGCATCCGCGATAGTGGCACTTAGTGTATTTTTCTGGGTTATCTTGTTTTATTAGAAGGAGAGCTTTCATTTCAAACATTTATTTTCTTTTTTATCATTAAATATATTTATATTTTATCTCAGGTTATTTATTGAGTGAACCTTACCAGAATTACTGTTATAAATTTTCATCAAATGGCTGATAAGTTGCAGTTGGAAGACCAATTAAATAGCAGCTTGGTTGACGGGATAAACAGTGACAATACGTGAATCAACATGTTATACACACATTTGTATGTATGAGTGTAGGGCAGATGAAACACTATTGAAGGTGTAATAATGATTGTAGAGGAGAGAAGAGAGTATACCTAATTATACAGAGGGCTGTGGCGCGGTTTGTGTAAACAGTGCCGTGATGGATCGAGGAGGCCCTGATTAAAATTTGTTTTCGATTCCTCATCGGCCTTCAGTCCTTCTCATCCTCTTTTCCTCCCGCTCTCGGTTTCTCCTGCTTCTCATTTCGCATCCATTTGCCGCTGGATTCTTTTTGAGTTAGGTTTCAAAACAACCCGATTTATCTTCATCATTTTATCTATCGAGGTACTATATGATCGTTATTATATGATTTCGACGTATACAATTTTTGAGGAATGAAGTTATTTTTGCGACAGACCATTCAGCGATTTTTCTTTTTTAATTCTGAAATAGCAACGTCGTTTTCCATCAGCTCTACTGGTACAGTGGGTATGCACATCCTAGTTATTAAAAATTTAAGAAGAAATGATCAAACTAATTCTTAATGCTATATTTAATAATGTTTTTAAACTTACTAATCAAAATAATTGCATATCCTACCAATAGCACATTGGCATGCAAAAATCTACATATAACCAAGGATTTTACATAAATTCCAACGTACTTAACATCTTCCTGAATATGAGGAGGAAAGACGTTGGGTGAGAAATTTCCATCCTTAATCTACCGAAGCAGTCGAATCGAGTCAGAGAATTGGAACTGGCTACTATCCTTTACATGCCTGATATATCATTATTTTCAGTTTAGCCAGCTCATTTGCTTATTCTCAACAAATTACTGTTACATATTACAAAATAAAAGGAGATATTTAATCCTGATTCGATGTTTTATGTATTTTGAATAATTTAAAACAGAAGTATGTAATAGCACGGTACAATCGATAAAATACAGGATACGTATGGGGTAACATAGGCTGTCGAGCCGTTACATGAGATCTATCATTACATGGATAGGCTTCCGCAGCCGTCTATATCTTCCAGCCGACTGCTACTGACAATTGCAGGAGCAAGATCTGCTTTGCTCTCACCTGGAACATCGGTTATATTTATGTCAACTGGCAGTGGCCTTGTTACGGATCAATGATCAAGAAAATGGCAACAGTGAACATTATTCAATTTATTTGTATTGAAGAGAGTTATAACTGTGAATGTTTTATTTTCAGGGTTCATATTAAAAGCGATATTTACATGAAATGAAATCATACCGATATTAAACCGAGTGTTGACTGATTTGAAACAGTTATATTTTTTTGCAAAATAATTTGCCTTTCTTTAAACCTTAATGGTAATACTAAATGATTATTTAAGATGAGAAATGTTTATTGGGTTTCCAAACGTATCGATTTAAATTTGTTTTGAACGATCATCATTTCATGCTACTATACATGCATAATGCATTTCAGAAAATTGTTTTAAATTTTAATTTAAGTTTTTATCCACAAATAATTATTTGTGGGTGAAAGCTGATATCATGAATGGTATTAATATATAAATATATATAAAAGTCAATTATTCAATTTTATTTTTAAATTGCTTAAATTATTATTATTAAAAATGAGAGACGGTTGGTTATTAAAAATAAATAAATAAATAATGAAACATATTGTAGAGGAAGAGGTGTTTAAAATCCGGCATTTAGCACAATCCAGACGTTTTGAATGCGGGTTAGACAATAAAAAAAAATGCACCATGACAAAGAGAAAAGGTGCATGGATAGGAAATAATTTTTTGGAGTGAATCACGTTTTTGTGGGATTTTAATCAGGGAGAACTTTCAAACCTGGAAACAAATAAAAACATTGAACGGAGCACACCATGTACCATTGAAAATAAACAACGGCTTTACTTTCAATTGCGTCCTGTTTAAAAGAGGAGAGTAATGCATCTCTCCTGCCTAGCGGATATTAAAAATTTTGAGATAATGTTCTTTTTCTCTAAACGTTTTCATAACTTGGTTATTTGGATTAAACGGACTTTAAAATATGTACTTTTGTTGAAAGCTCGGATTCGAAGTTTATTTGCAATATTTTCCCTAAGTAAAAATTGAGAAACATAGCTATAAATATTCTTTATTAGGTTAATTACATAGAAAAAAAAGATCGACGCCTCTTATAGATTTTAAAAGACGCTTTGGCACAGTGACGCGAAATGACTATATTTGTACCACTTATCATATATCACGTTGCCGGGCAACGGTGGTGCTGTGCACAACGCGTTAGCATATTCGGCCACTCCGCCCAAAATCCCTTATAGTTTGTTCGCATATCATTTCATTTCATTTCCGTGGCTCTACAGCCCTTGTAGGGCCTTAG